CCTATGGTAGTAAACAAAAACAAAAAACAGAACTGCAACTTGTAATTCCTTAACACTGTAAGTGACGCTGCAATCCGATCGCTCCTGCAGTGAGTATCCTCTTCTACAGATAGTTTCCTCTTTTTCAGGGCCGTCGATGGTAAGGATAAGAAGAACAAGAAGAAAGGACTCTTCTAACTCGACTCTGGAAAGGCAACGTGCGAAGAGCGAGCTTTTCTCGGTGTAATCAAGCAGCGAATTTTTTTACAGCTGATCATATAGAAATAAACATGACTCGCTATAAGATAAGTTGATGGATTTGTTGATCGTTTTCTGAACTATCAGTCTGTCGTATCGAGATCTTTCACTGCGTCGTTCGGTTACAGTGGCGGGTCACAGAGAGAAGTTCAGGATACTCTAAAAGAGCTTCGTAATTTTACAGTTGCATTTTACATTGCATTTCTTTTTTGTTTTTTTTTATATATATAAATAATTACTTTTTTTGTATGATCTCGTATTGGTGTAGGAATAAAGGTAATTATTAGAATCAACGAATGCACACGAACGAAGGAGACAGTCGACGCGTGTTCATTATTTTATTGTATTATTTACGTGCCATGTCAACATAGTCGTACGAACGAAAAGATATTTACGCTGTACAGAACGACTGGAATCGTTAATACTCGTGGACACGAATGTCAATTTGAAGCATCTCCTTTGACCGCCATTGTATGCCAATCAGTGCTACTTAAAATTATAGATGATGGAGCGTGGTTCAGAAGATTCGTTAACAAATGAAAGGGTGAATGTGTGTTGCTTAAAAACACAGACACAGAGTCGACGCGTATACTGTGTATATCGCTCCCACGTTTGTACCGCTTTCTCGTTTCTCCACGCGTAACCGTACGGGTTATGCTTTCAGGAGCGAGGTGTGAAAGAGTGTTTCTTCTATCGTGTTCGCCTGTGCTTCTTCGCGCTTCCTACTATTACTACTCAAGAAATCACACTAGCATAATTCGAATTATGATACTGTACAAAATGTAGACATAACTTCTGTGAACGTGATTTTTGTTTAACAAGAGCGATCAAGGTACGAATACGTAAAGCCGGGAAAAGAAATTCAATACTCTACGAGTCATCTTCTTTTAGAAAATTCTATACATCTCGTGTTTATCATTGTATTGAACATTCGGCGGAAGGTATTAACGGATCAATGCGCTCTGGAAACTGATTATTAATGTTTCAAATAGGATAGCAAAATATTACAAACAGTTTTGTATTGTCCGATGGAAAAAGGTGACGATTGGAGTCGTCTGCAACTTTCTAGAATTCTTATCGATAGTCGAACGCTTTCTCCGGTGACTGTTTGAACGTTTCATTTTAAACTTGGTGCGCAAAGTTTCAGTTTGTTTCTTTCGTCATCGATGAAATCATATTTTACGTTGACAGAAAATCAAGTTACCTTCTGCCAGGGTTGCCATGCAAATTCTCTATGGTAAATGTATCAACGACGGTGAAGCCAATTCGATGGGACAGTGTGTTGATCGCTCTTTGTATAATCGTGTGTACCATACATAATCAGAGTAACAAGTCCAGGTGATCGTGAATTCGTGTGTCTTCGCCGAAATCGTTTCACCGTGGAACCTTACCGCATGGTCTGGACACTCGAGGACAAAGACGTGCGATATATCGTCGACCTAAATGTAGGTGTGCAAAAAGTCTCTATGTCTAGGTATAGAATAAACGAATCGCATCGATGTTTAAATATCATTTTCGTATCGTTTAAGGTAATTAGAGAGAGAGGTCGGTTAAATGTAATACTTGTCTTAAGGAACAACAAATTGTACAAAGAATTCTTTCGCCACTGATCGCAAATCTTCCATACTCGGTACGCATCTTGTAACGACTGCGATGGATCTATTGTCGAACTAAGCGACGTCAGGAGTACTTCGAAGTGTACCATCCCCGGCAAAAAGTACTTCGTCACATAATCAAAGCATTTGTTAGAGAAATTATTGTTACGTTGAGCGCGAAAAGTGTTTTCAGCAACGGTAACGAACAGACTGCGGATTTTATGCACTTATAGCATGCGCAAACATATACAATACATGATGAAATAAAACGATTTTACTGAAATTCCAAATAGTTTTTATATTACTGACATAATAACGACACCCACGGTAGCGAAGTAAACTTCTAGTCATCCCAATTTTCATGAATCGGTTCTTGCATATTTGTATTCGCGCGGCGAATCCGCAGTCTGCCTAATGGGAACAGAATCGACTCCCCGTTTTTTATGTGAACAAAGTATTAACGCAACATTGAACATCTTTAGTTATTTATAAAATACAAGATAACTATTGGTGAACCACCTTCACTGATCACGCGGAACAATTTTAATTCAGCACATTTCGCGAAGAAAATGGAGCTCGCGATCGAGTATTACGCCCATTTTCTTTTCGTTCAACGACAAGCTCGTCGTCCCGCGACGGAAGGTTGAATGTAATTATAAAATAAACGCAGTGGCCATATATATATACATATTATACATATATACATATATATACATATAAATATATATTTATGTATAAATGAATCGAGGGAAATCTTAAGGATAAGTCCGATTCGTGTAAATCTAAGTTGTATCGATAGGATGGAAAAGCAAAATTGATCGCGGCTAAGATAAAATTGTATAAATATATTCTAAGTGTGATTTTTTTTCGTCGTGGTCCGGGACGGTGCGTTGCCATATTGTTTTATTTTTATCGTTACGTGAAATGTATTTATCTGTTCGTGCCCGATAAGGATAAGAACAGAATGTTCAAATAACGATTGAACGATACATGGAACCTCGTTAGCCCGTTAATCGGTTGACTTTTGTACTTGTATTGACTTTGGAAATCTTCAGTCGTGCCGAGAAGCTAATTCAGGAACGACTTCGATGAAGTTATCTCATGGTAAACGTCAACCTAGTCGCCGACACTTTGAAGGGAAAAGATAATTGATCGGTTAATACGTGGTCTCCGATTAACGGGCAAAGAAACGCACCGTCTCGAATCCGTTCGCGTATACGCGTCGGTATCCGCAACAAGAATGGGCAAATACGCGTACACTTCTGCTGTAATTTTTATAATACGCGCGTCGAACAAATTCCTTTCTATTTTTCTTCTTTCTTTATTCCCTTCGTTCGCCAATTTTCGCCGTCGCTGCGTCTCAAGACTCGTTTGCCCACTCTTGGTCCTGTACTCTAAGCTAACTGAATTACTCGTGTGCCAAGACGAAAACGGAGAAGCATTTTCTAACGCTAGTTACGTGAGACTCTTCAGTTACTTGTAAAATAAGATCCGCGCGGTTCTGCGTAAACACGTCTCTGAAATTCAACAGGGATGAACCACGTGTCACATTCCTATTTTGTACGCGTTTTTCCAGTTAACCCGTGTCGGCCAGATGTTCGCGCGAAAACTAGAAGCCGCGGGCAAACAACTTTTTGCGAAACGAACGTTTTACGACGTTCTTTTATGATCGAACAATTCGCGTTACTCTGCACTGATAATGTTAAGCTCAATCGTCGAAGTTCAAGGCTCGCCGAGCTACAATATGCAGGGTAGACTATCTTGCACGCATATCTGATGACTCCTAAATCACGCGTTGACGAAAGTGTCCAAGACCAGCCTTGGATAGTGGCTGAAATCGCCGTGCGTTTGAAACGTGACCCGAAACAGTTTTTCCCGTTCGGTTCGTCGAAATATTTTCAATTTCGACGGATTGTCTGTAACGTTTGTCCGGCTGACGCTACTCAGGAATGATTCAGGTGTACTTAGTGGATGGTCCACGCTATATATTTTCGTCCAGACACGCGCTAAACGCACAGAATTCGCGACATTTCTTTCCCATTAGTCGCGTAGAAATTCAGATTCCTGGAAGAAGATCTTGGACAACCAGAGTATTTACTTTAATGGCGATTCTAAATGCAATTAAAACCATACGTTCGAAGTACAAAGATAGGAAAGGCGGAGGTTAAGATTTTCGTGAGATAACATTTTAACTTCTCTAAGGTTTAATACAGCGAAAGGTCACGTACTTAACTTCAGTTTTTCTGGCATTCTTTTTCTCTTCTTCTGAAGTCCAAAATCAAAGTTTAAAAATGGTTATTAGTTTCAGTGGATGTACCACTATTATTGTTAAAAGTATTACAAAAACTGTGTTGTATACACGACGCTTATATTTTTTCATTTACACTCCTTTTAAGATGAATTTCTTTCCTGGGAGCTTATCAAGATCAATTATAAAATATACTAATGAATATAAGGGAATAATTTCTCCCTTAAAATCCCCCAAGATCTTCTCTTTAGGGATCCAACAGTAGGGATTCTTGGTGTTCTTATCCTCTAAGAGAGGTCTCAAATAATTTCTGGGTTTTCATCAATCCAGTAGGACCACTTATAAATAAATAATTTTAATAGAGCTTCTAAAGGTGAGCATGACAGGCTGAAAATAATGAAAGATGTGAGATAGATGCAACGATAAAGTAATTTATTAAAATGATAGGGAACCAAGGAGCAGATCAAAGACCAACAAACATCATCATGTGCAGATGATTCACATTTCATTTGACTGATTAGTTCCACAGGTTCTGGTGTGGACTTGAAATAATTGGGACCTCTTTTACTAGGATTAGAGACAGCGGTGAATTAAAATGAGTGTCTAAACGCAGTGAATCCTTTGTATAAGTCTTGATTAGAATCATGACTACTTTGTTTCAAGATGTACTTGTAGGTAACAATATATTGGGATAGTAAAACACACTGTGACCGTAGGACGATCCTTCATCCGGATCCTGCTCGATTTACTATCTCAGTGTATTTTTACCTTCAGGTGCACATCAGATCTTGTACTTTAAAGTAGAGAGAATCATCGATATTAACGCTAGAACTACCGAGTTAAAAAGTACGTCTGAACAATTGCAAGGCTGTACCTTTTAAGATTCTGTTATACTTTGTTTCGTACGAACACAATCAATATTAATCCAATTAATTCATAAAATCGGAATACAACAATTCTCTAATCAGCACAAGACTTGTGATCTCGCTGGTAGTTCTAGCGGTAATATAAAAGATATTAGGCGACCTAATATCATCTCGGCAAGAGGGAGAAGGTGATAGCGCTTATCCCGTCGTTGAAACGG